AAAAAAAAAAAAAAAAAAAAAAAAAATCAAACAAAAGGAAAAGAGTGAGAGTATTTTGATGTCTGATGAGTTGTAATGTTGGATTGAATATATTTTGATGTTTGATGACTTTGTAGTTTGTATTTGTAATTTGGATTGCCTTGCTTTAGATATTGAATTATTAATCTATTGTTTTAGTGAACTTAAATTAGTATTGCTTATGGTAAGTTGTACTTAAAATATCGATTTATCAACTCTTATTTAGAAAAATGTCATTATATGCTATAAAATTAATGATAAATATATATAGAAATATATTATACATATAAAATAAATAAAAAAAATTATATATTAGTTAAACCGGTTCGATCATTGGTCTGATCAGTGAACCATTGAACCAGTAGCTTCACCGGTCGATGACCGGTCCGATTTTCAAAACATTGAGAAAAACCGAACCGAAACCGTACCGAAATTTTCGGTTCTGTGCGGTACGATTTCGGTTAACCGCAATTTTTTTTTTAAAAAAAAACACCCAAAATAAAATGAAGCTACATCATCCTCATCTAATGTGCAACATTATCAAACCAAAAGCTCAAAATTTGATAAAAAAAAAAAGCAAGAAATTACATTTAATGTAATATTATTAATTTTTAATTGTTGTTATTATTTACTTATTTATTGTTAATGTTAGTCATCCCAAACCAAAGACCCAAAATGAGCATGCATATGTACAATACAAACATGTTTACATATTTCATATTTGTTAGATATATATATATATATATATATATTCGCGGCGGTTCGGTTAAAACTGTATCATTCGGGCAAAAAAAACCGAACTACATCGAAACTTGTGCGGTTTTTCGAAATGTTAATAGCACTGAAAACGAAACTGAACCGCATCGCACTGAATACATCAGTTCGGTTCGATTTTTTGGTTTCGACTCGGTTTTTGGTGGTAAATAGAGAAACTTAGATAGTACATATATTTTACACTAGATTTGTCAAGATGATATTATTTTAATATATCACACACACACGCGCAAGATGATTTGTCAAGATGATATTATTTTAATATATTTTATATTTTACACTCGACTTCATCATACTCGTTGTATGTATAGAATGGATCATATGAGAAAGAGAGATAGTGAAAGAAATGAGAATAAGTTTGGACCCATATCAACGGGTATGATGAAGTCAAACTATGATCAATTATTAATGACAATCTAGTAATTATTTGATCATATTGTGGTCAAATGTCCAGAATGACAAATGAACACATCTGCATTAACTCCACTAATCTTTGGTTCAAACAAAGCCACCACATCCGGCTGGTGTTGATTAATGATTGTAGAGAAGGCTCCTCTACTCAATTACATCGACCCTGCCCCTTGTACATTCCAGGCTAGATAATTCATAAAAACAATCAAAGAGAGGGAGAAAGACCAAAGCATCAGGACGTGCAAATAACATCTTCGAGAGTCTGGAGATAGATATGTACATTTATTTATAATTAAGGATAAGTTGGTCAATAAACATGTATCAGGTGGGACCCACTCACCAAATCAATTCACCACATCTTTTCTCTTTCCACAAACACTTTCTCTTCATCACCCTCTTACGCACTGAACATGTTACACACACACACACATAGATCTGGCAGACCGCCTCCAGTCCGCCACATCGTTGTTGCCTTCCACCAACATCCGTCCAGTTGCGCCCACCTGCTGGCCACCGGAGTTTCGCCGCCTAACCTTCCTCTGTTGTATCTACATTACTGCCGTCGTCGCCTCTCACCTCGTCGTCGATGTTTTCCAGCTCGGCGTCGCACCCTTTCTCCGCTCGGCGTCGCCGTTCTCAGCCCCCCACCATCATCCCGCCACTGCCGCCGTACAAATCAGCATGATATGTCGCGCGCCTCCGTCACCACCCCCAACACCGGCAATGTCGCCGCCGTCGCTTCCATCCCGACCATTGTTTCCAGCCTTTGTCGTCCGTCTTCCGTTCATTCCTGCACCGGCAATGTCGCGGTCGTTGGCTGCTTTAATGTCGCGAACTCCCTGTCGTCTTGTTCGCTTGCCAGAAAGTTACTGGTGAATGTTGGCGGTCCAGTAGCAGGCCGTCGTCGGCCACCAATGACCACATGACCACCGTGATTTTGGCCGGATGCAGCTTCAGTTTTCTCATGTGTGTTGGTTGAGATTTGCTTGCAATTTGGGGTTGTTTAATTGAGAGTTTGATTTATTTTAGGGTCCTAATTGCAATTTTTGAAAGTATATTATATTTCAATTGAGTACATTGGACAATTTGATAATTTAATAAAAGTTTAATACATACACAATAATACCTATAAGGTATTATAATATTTTCTTTTATTTCAATAGAAAATCCCAACTTAATTTTTTATACAAACAATATGAAAAATTATATTTTTTTTATATAGTTTGGTTTTTATGTTGGTTATTTAAATAAAAAAGAATTGTAATCTTACTGAAATACCCGATATATAAAATAATAATAATAATAATAATAATAATAATAATAATAATAATAATAATAATATTCGAAAAAAATAATATAAAAGTTCGTACCGAATTTATGTTCGTTGGTTCTCGTTCAATGTTGTGCAATCTGGCAGTCATGTATGTGTAATTTGTATAACCATAAGGTGCACTCGCAATATATATATATATATATATATATATATATATATA